TAGCGTCATCTATCTTGGGCATCGGTTGTATGCTGCAGGCCTGGAACCTAAGGCAACCAAGGTTGATGTCATACGCAATTGGCCTCAGCCCGTGAACATTCGCGAACTGCGTTCTTTTCTTGGCCTCGCGTTATACTATCGAAAGTTTGTGCCCCGCTTCTCTATTGTTGCTCATCCATTGTCACGGTTGACCAGTAAAAATGTTCCCTATTCTTGGAACGCCACGTGCACGAATGCTTTCCAAGCTTTAAAGGAAGCCTTGGTAAGTCACCTCGTACTCCGCATTGCAGATCCCGCACTGACATTCGTAGTCACTACGGACGCGAGCCGGTACGAAATCGGTGCAGTGCTGCAGCAAGACAACGGCGATGGCTTGCGGCCACTCGAATACTACAGCAAACGCATGCCCAGCGTAAAGGTAGCCACTTCCACCTACATGCACGAGCTCTATGCTTCGCGTATGGTGTTGGACCACTGGGAACACTATCTTTTGGGATGCCACTTCAAAGTCTTCTCAGATCATGAGACTCTGAAGTGGATCAAACAGCAAACTACCCTGTCCCCTACCTTGCTTTGCTGGTACCATGAAATTGACATTTTCGATTTTGAGTTACGACACAAAAAGGGTTGTTATAACCGAGTAGCTGACGCTTTGTCTCGCCACCCCGAGTACATGACTTGCCTTGTCAAATCCTGCGACCTCTTGAAGAAACTGACGGAGGAGATCGTAGAGCATTCACGAGTATGGAGGACTGATTTTTCGTCGCTACGGGAACCACGACCGTTTGTGTGTGCCCAACCATGAGCCTCTCCGCACGCACTTTCTGGATTTGGCTCATGGCCGGAGCGGACACTTCGGCATGGCAAAAACGTATGTGAATTTGCTGAGACAGTTCGATTGGCCTGGCATGAAAGGGACTGCTGAAAAGTTTGTGGCTGAATGTCAAGTCTGTCAACGAATGAAACCATGCAGACAAAAGCCGATGGGGCTACTCACACCCCTACCCATTCCCGATGGTCCGGGGGAGTCGGTCTTCATCGACTTCACCGACATGGGAAAGGTAAGCAAGAACGGCTACTCACAGGTCATGGTGATTGCTGACCGCTTCACGCCCCAACAGAACTAGTGATTCGTGAGTTCCAACAGAAGTACATTCTGCAGTTCGGAACCTCGAAGACTCTTGTGAGCGATCGAGATCCGCGCTTCATTAGTACTGAATGGAAGGACTTCACGTCTCAACTGGGTATCAAGCTGTGTATGACATCTGGCCGACCCGAAGCCAACGGTTTGACAAAGGAGATCAACCAGACTGTGTTTCAACTTCTTCGCGCTTTGATTATTCCGGATCGGGAAACATGAGATGAAGAGCTGTATTCCGTTAACGGGTTATACAACAACTCCGTCCACTCCGCCACCGGCATGACACCCAACAGGTTGCATTACGGTTGGCAGATCCGGAATCCGTTATCTTACCTATTCCCTGAGCAGCCAGCTGGTTTAACACCCGACAGACCTGGCTTCAGGGCCAAATATGATCGCTTGCTCAAAGTTGCCATTGCAACCATGACCAAGCGACAGCACGCCATGGTCCATCATGTGAACAAGAAGCGCCGACTGTCGGATATTCAGGTAGGAAGCTATGTCTGGGTCAAGATGTCTGAATTCTCAGAAGAAGAGGGAGTCTCACGCAAACTTCTCCCACTCTATTATGGGCCCTGGGAAGTTTTGGATGTGATTGGTGAAGATCACTTTGGCCCTTCGTACGTCGTTGATGTGCCAGCCCATCTGCGCACATACCTCGTGTTCCACGCATCCAAACTGTACCTCCACCGTGATGCTAAGACATTCGATTATCGGGAAGATATGATCCCTCGCGCGATCAAAGGTGGGCATGAGATAGACCGAATTAAACAGCACGTAGGGAAGGGACACAATAGACAGTAGCAGGTTCACTTTTTGTATCATCCGTTATATGATCTGTACTGGATTTCCAAGCAAGAACTGCTACGCAGCGCACCGCGCGTTGTTAAGGCTTACGAGCGACAAATCGCCACTAACGCTACGCCTAAGATCTCTGCAAGGCTCACTGCGACGGAGTATTCTAGGAATCTCTTTGCCTTGCTTGCCTACGATGCGTTTGTCGAGGACTCAGAATGAGTTACTCGCTCGAAGGGACCTCGCTCTTGAGGGGGGAGTAGTGTGACGACCCGTCCAAACATGGACTGAAACACACAGCTGATTTCTGAGTTTTACTCATAAACTGAATGCCTTGCTGAGTTTCCCGCCTGCTAGTAAGTCTGTGTGTGCACGCTTGCAGGACTGCATGTCTGTCTGAGTGCTGGTTGGCATGAGTCTGTGTGTGGCCCGTCAGGGCACTTGCTCGTTTGTTGGGCCCTCAGGGCCTGTACTTACCTGTGGCCATGACATTGAGGGGTTGCAGTGGGGAAAAGCACTCAAGTAGCGGGTAGACCGGTACCGCACCTGGAAGGGGTAGATGTGCAGGTACCGGAGGCCGAGCAGAAGAAGACAAAAGTAGCATTTTTAAAGGCCCAGTAGTGTAGGCTAGGTCTAGGCGGATACCAGTCTGAGTCTAGGGCCTGTACGGGCAATATCAGAATCTGCAATGATGTTTCCCTCCAAAAAGGAGGAGGTACCAGTTGCTTGGGAGGCCAAGCGGCCTGGAAGTCACTGCCCAAGAGGCAAAGCAGACCGCTATATCTTAGGGCCGGGCGGAGAGTCCGGCCTCTTTTTCGGTGTGCAAGTTTGGCAACACACTGGTGGAGCGCTGGCTGGAGCAGCGCTGCTGGGGAGGAAGGAGAAGGACACGAGGGAGGAGCGCCAGGGGTACTTACCTGGCTATGGTGGCAGCCATCTTCATCACCTTGGTGGGCGCTGCAGCAGGGAGTCCGCAACTGGGGAGAGCCACACCAAGAAGCTTCAAGGCAGGGTTGGGCATGGCGGCCTGAGCTAGAGCAGCCATAGCTGCTTTGGGTTGTCCTTTGGGCATCTGGGCAAGGCCTAGTAGTCCGCCATAGCCTCGGCCTATGAGGGTGAAGAGTGGGGGAGGCGGCCATGGCTATGGTGGACCTCAAGTGATACCTGCAGTAGAAGAGGGACTCGGACATTGATTCTGGATCAGCCATTCAACATTGTATTATTATTTCTTGTATGAATAAGAGAAGGGGGAAATAAGGAGGAGATTGTTGCGCGAAGAAGAAGAGCCTTGTCATTTGTTTATGCTGGTGTACATCTTCTTCTTCTTCTTTCTTACTTCTTCTTCTTCTTCTAATCCTCTCTCTTCTCTCAAGTTCATTCATTTCTTTCTGCAATTGGGCGGCATTGTACTATCAGATGGATGTGTATCTCGAAATTGGTCAGGATCATAACACAGACCTGTTTTCGGTCCTAAGCCGAAGGGAGAATATGGCTCAAAAGAGGAGGCAAACAGTGAAGCCCAGGAATTTAAGAGATGAAGTGAACGAACCAGAGATGGTACCGCAGCACTGAACTTAGCACAACGAAAAGGAAAAGGGAGATCAGACACCCGGCAACTGAACCACTTAAGGAGTACAGAAATGAGGGATACGACTCATTCCTGGTTAAGAATACAAGAGCTCAAATCAGGGGGGGGAGGGAGGGAGGGGGAGCTGTGAGAGCAAGTGCGAGAGAGAGAGAGAGAGAGAGAAGAGAGAGAGAGAGAGAGAGAGAGAGAGAGAGAGAGAGAGAGAGAGAGAGAGAGAGAGAGAGAGAGAGATTGGGGTCAAAACTGTCGGTTTTCAGGAGTAGCCTTGGTGGGTCGGTTCAGATTTCGAATGTGGTTCAAGGACCCTCAGGTCACAAATGGTTAACAGGTACCCCCACTTTTCACCCCTAGGGTAACCTTCACATCCATGAAAAGTGCAGTGGGGACCATGTTTTTTTTTTTTTTTTTTTTTTTTTTTTTTTTTTTTGCCCTGTTTTTTTTTTGGTCAAAGCATGTATGTGCCAAGTTTGGTGTTGGTTGGGTTCCTGGAGATGCTTGTTTTGGGCAGCGGTGAAAATCGTGAAAATCAGCAAATTGAAATGTTGGTAAAATTTCATGAAAGTGCACTTTTGCCTTGCTGTTTTATATGTTTTTAATTTTTTTTGTTTTGTTTTGTTTTTACAATAAGTTAGTAAGGAGTGCACTCTACAGATTGGTGTGAAGTATTGTTAAAATGACCCTTTGTTTTTTTTATAAATGGGGGTGAAAAATGGGGGGTCGGTTAACCTTCTGTCCCTTAAAAACAAAAAAAAAAAGAGGCGGATTTTGAGGGTATTGCCAAACGTATCTTTCCTCACTTGCCAGCAGAAAAGGAATCAGACTCTTTCTCCCAAGCAGGGATAGGAGAATCCATCGCGACAACACCATGTTTGCACCCATGTTTGCATCCCTGCCGACCGCCGACCCCGACCGTCGATCGTATTCCAGCCGACCAGTAGGGCCGACCGGTCGGCGGTCTGCCAACCAGTCAGAAAACAACCATCCACTAATTTTTTTTCAGATCTGAGTTGGAAGCTGTACTGCGCTTGCTGAGTACAGCCCAAATCCGCTGAGAAACTTTTGGAGATGGGGGGTTTGGGGGTGGGGTGTATAGGGTGATATAGGGGGGTACAGGTGGGTATAGGGGGGTATAGGGGGGTATAGGGGTGGTATAGGGGTGGTATAGGGGTTAGGGGGGGGGTTATGACGGTGTTGGGGGCCGGTTTGTGGGTTTCGGGGGCTGTATGGGGGTATTTGGGGTGGGTATGGGGGGTGTTTGTGGGGTTATTAGGGGTTATTAGGGGTTCTGGACCCAAAAAAAAAGTAAATAATAATAATAATAAAAAAAAAAAATTGCGGGGTGCCAACCACCCCCTACCGGTAGGTGCCGACCAGTCAGGGGTCGCCGACAGTCGGCGCGTGCAACACTGTTTGCACCCAAAAACAAAACCAAAAAGCACATGGAGGAGGGAGATGGACGAATGAGGAACCACAAACCTGAGGATGTATCATATACTCTGCTATATCGCTTTTGCACATTGGGCAAGGCTTTGCCAATTTCTGCGCACGCAATGTGCGTCCACCAGGCCGTCCTCGAACACGAACCTCCTCTATCCCTTTGAATTCCCCCTCCAGGCATGCTTTACAGAAATTATGTCCACAAGGCGTACACAGGGGAGATTCAAGAACTCTTCTGCAGAGGTTACATCCAAATTCTGCAGGGGGCATCAGCACACATTGGCAAATTGGCAGGGGGGGCCATCAGCACACATTGGCAAATTGGCAGGGGGGGGCCATCAGCACACATTGACATGTTTTCAAAACACACCACAAGGCCATCAGCACACATTGGCAATTTGGCGAGTTGCAGCTCACCGTCTCCCTCCTGAGATTATTCCAGTTATAGATAAAAGAAAGGAGGTTGGCTCCTGAGATTATTCCATTTATGTGATTCGATCAGAGTACTTGAACTCGTGATATGTATCCCATGACGCTCAAGTGTGATACCATTCAGCCACATGGGCTGGTGTCTTCTTCTTGTTTTTGCTCTTTATGACATCAGGAATTATGGCATCTGACCTGAATATTATTTGAAAGGCCCCAGCCCTTGGCGGCACCCAGCAGGGGCCGCCTGCATCGGATCGACCCGGCCCAAAGTGACATCGGAAGTTCTGGTATTTGACCTGGCCATTATTTGCATTGGTGGTGACCAGCAGGGGTCACCTGCGTACGATTGACCCGGCCCAACGTGAAGGTCGGGCATACAGTAATACAACCGGCCCCTAAGGAAATGTCCACGTGTACAAAAGTATCTGCCGGCAGTGCCGGGCATTAAACTAATTGCGCTGTCTGGAAGCTTTTTCTTTGAAAGGTCCCAGTCCGCCATGACACAACCACGGCCTCCCACATTCGGCAAAAACATTGGAAGCGGCTGCTGAGGGACAATCCTTCATTTCAAAAGCTGCTAGCTGGCCAGTAGCACTAAAAACAGCGCAGCTCGATGAGCCAGGCAGTGCGTTGACAAAGGCAAAGGAGCAGGCCTGCCACGCTTAAGCAGACGCTGCCAGTGGCAGCCATAGCTGCACTGGATGGTTCAAACTTCGAACGGTGGCACGGGGATTGGGAGGATGATGTAGAGAGGACAGTGATGAGAAGTGGAACTTAACTGGTGATGGGTGACGAGTACAAATGACGTGGTCAGGCGCTGAGGCATCATCAGGCGAGCAGAACTTACCTGATGATGGGTGATGGCACACACCCTTCAATGAAGTTTATAACCACCCTGTGCGATCTCCTTGCGCTCATCAATCGTCTCAGCTGTGTGATGCCGCACCACCTTTCAGGCCATGTGGCTGAGTGGGTATACTGGGTGCCGCATCACACAGCTGTGTGATATACTGGGTAAGAGAAAGGAACACAATCATTCCTCTTGACACATGACCCAGGCCATGTGGCTAAGTGGTAAAACAATGTAAGCAAAAGTTCAGTAAACAGACCATGAATTGGCACCCTGGTGAAACCATACCAAAAGGTCACGATACCGCCCCCTTTCAACAAGGTTCACAACCACCCTGTGTGATATGGCACCCCATTTTGTGTTAGGATAGCTGTCTTTGTATTTGCAGCAGTGCCATGGAGAGAGATGGCACTAGTGCGCAGAGCTAAGAATGGTCCTTACGTCCTGCTTTATTACTCAGCTTGATACACACTTCCCCACCCGCCCTCGTAGCTGCATATCGTCGTGGACGATCGGAAGATAGAAATCGTGTTGCCTGTTGGACATGCTTCGTCATAACACCTGCTTTTATGGGATTCCGTGCAGTGCTAACTAAGTGGCGAGTGTATCTAGCACTAGAAGGTAGAGGATGCACTTTCTTTCTCGCAAGAGTGCGTCCTTTTCAGATTTTAGCGAATGGAGCAAGGCCCAATATCGACCCTGGAATGTCACAGAAATGAAGAACCCTGGCCTCCTCTGGCGCAGCACACGGCTGCCTGACGACCCCATTGCATACCAGCAAGCTCTACAAAGGGCGCCCGGAGGAACACGGTTCAATGCACTACAGCATGCCATCGCTCGCTGAGAAAGAGCACAAGGAAGACAAATGACCAAGCCATAGCATATGGAAATTGTTGATTAATAAAATAGAGAAAATAGAATTACAAAATTCTCAAAAACATAGATTAAAAATGGATGCACCGGTCCTCAAAGGCTGAAACATTATTGTTTTTTTTTTTTTCCCCACTTTGTGCATCGATGGCTGAGAAAGAGCATAAGGAAGAAAAATGACCAATCCGTAGCATATGGAAATTGTTGATTAATAGAAAAGAGAACACAGAATTACAAAATACTAAAATACTTGAAACAATAGATTAAAAATGAATGCACCGGTCCTCAAAGGCTGAAACGTTATCGTTGTTTTTTCCCCTGCTTTGTGCTCCTAAGGAGGTGAAAGACGAGAATCCAACCTTTCAAGAGCTTCTGCTGTATTGTGAGCTGTTTCCTCTTTAGCATGCCCTCACTTCTAACATTCAGATGGCGACTCCGTGGCGGGTCAATCGTCCAGCCCCAGTGTTGCTCTTCTTCCTGCAGCAAAGCAAAGTGACATACTTCGTTTTTCAGTGTTTTTTTTTTTTCCCCCCCCGAAACAAGTCCCTTTGTGAGAACGGGGACAGCAGGAAAGAAAATTGGGCAAGGTCTTCCAGGTAGTGCCTGAGGAGATTCCGTACACAATAACATCCAAAGTCCTCCCTTTTCCACCTTTTCTCCCTCCTCCCTTTCCTGATAGGCACTCCGCCACTCTATGGATGCAAACTCCATCCTCCACCTACCTACCCCTCCTCCCCTTTGTTTTTCAGTATATTCACAAAATTCCACACCAGCAAAGAATCACAACAAAACACTTCAGGAAAACCCAAAAGAGTGAAATCCTCACAGGACAACAACCTCATGCCAACTGCACCTTCAACCCACCAGCGACACCGGCTGCTAAGCTCAACACTGCCCCTAGGAACAGGCATTGATAGGCTGATACATTCAAGAGAGCAAACACTGTCATTGGCTGTTAATAGCTTGTGATTATTTCGTTAACAACATCCAAATCAACCTAAGGAAAACAAAGGTGCCAGGCTGAAAATCATGGGCTCACATGCTGCTAATAAATGCACGAGGGTGGGTGTCTAAGTATGCACGTGGGTGGGTGGGTAAGTGGGTGGGCCGGTAATTGAGTGAGCGGTTGGGTGGTAACGTGTGGCTCAATGGCTAGGTGGGAGAGCCAGTAAGTGGGTGGGTGGGTGAGGGAGGGATCGAGTGAGCGAGCAAGTCAGCAAGTGCGTGAGTGGAGAGTGAAAGGGGCGGAGGGAGGGAGGGAGGGAGGGGGGGGGGAAAGGGGCGGGGGGGGGGGGGGGAAGGGGGGGGGGCGGGTAATAGCAAGTCAGCAAGTG